ATTTTTCTACTTTCTATTTTCTTTTCTTTCTATTTATTGCAGCAGCTTACTGTATAATTATGCCGATTGGCAATAGAATGAAATACATCAGTATTCTACCATTCCAAAACAGAAACTTTTAAGCATCTCATTAGGTTGAAAGGAGGTCATGTATGTGTATAGTTTGTGCCTTGGCTTATAGTCTTTTACACATGCTTTTAGTCTTGTGATCTAATAGCTTTTCTTCTATAAAGTTGAAGCATCTTTCTTGGCTGTCCTCAATGCCATGTGGGTGTGGCTTCTGAGCATCTAAAGAGAAGCACTATGGAATTTAGACAGAACATCTAAAGAGAACCACTATGGCATTTAGACAGACTGTACTTGTCCTGATATATGAAACTTATCGCTTGAAAACCTTTAAACTGCTGAACAGCTGGGGGGAAAGATTCTTGCAACAATTATTGAAAGATTTTATTTGGTGGATAAACTTTGACCATTTGTATTGGTAGCTTCTCCCACAAACCTTTTTTTAGAACAAGGACATCAACTTAGGGATTCAGCTGAACTTCCTGCCCTAATTGAGAGGGATATGTTCACTTCCTTGGGACAGAAGACCTTCCCACCCTTACCAACGCATTTGCTAGCATGGTTTAAAAAGTCAGGAAATGTCAAAAATGTTGCCCGACATATGACAGTGTCGAGACCCAGCAACAGAAACTTTCATTTGCTAGCATGGTTTAAAAAGTCGGGAAATGTCAAAAATGCTGCCCGACATATGACAGTGTCGAGACCCAACAACAGAAACTTTCAGGTAATTAAGAAAAGTACAAAATGTCATTTGACATTAACGATATTTTAGTCAAATGTCAACCAAGTTGATCCAAACACAAAAAAAATTACATTATTTCCTAATATTTAGAACATTGTGAATCTTATTTAATGCCAAAAACTGAGAAAGGGAGAGATAGGTTTGAAAAGAAACAAAATAAAAACATGTGTAGCATCAAGATGAGAGCTTAAAGAAGGGGAAAAAGGAAGAAGCATGGTTTCAAAACTGGACCGGACCGGAAAAACAAGGAACCAGTCACCTGACCGGTTCCGTTTTTCCCCAAAACCGCTTTTTGGCCAAAAATCATTGATTTGTTTAGCGAACCGCTGACCCGAGTTGTCAAACTGTCGACCCGAACAACAGTTTTTGGCCTTTTTTTAATTTTTTTTTATTTTTCTATTAGAGCGGGCCATCCATTCGGACCGAATGGTCGGACCATTTGACCCAGTTCCCTATCCGGTCCGGTTTTAACACCCTTGGGAAGAAGTGTTTCATATTTCCATACCTAGGAGCTTGAACATCTGTATTGACAAGACTAGGGTTAAAATCAATTAGCCTTACCATTAGTGGAGCACTGAAAACCCCCTTTGGAGCAAGAATCAAGGAGCCAGTCCTCTGAAACTTGAAGCTTCAACCTCTCATCTCAGTTCAGGTATGCAGGAACTACAGACCCTCTTCTAGAGTTCCCATATGAAAAATAAGAGGAAAAAAACAAAAAAGAATGAAATAGGAGTAGTAGAAACATCTCCCTCAATCAATCTTGTGATCTTGCACTTGCTCTTGCTCTTGGTTCTTCGGCTTGAGAGTTGAGAGGAGTTGGACTCTAGAGTGATCATGCAGTCTTCAAATGTTCAAATAAAATGAACAGTAGCATGTCTTAACTCTTAAGGCATGTAAAATAAGAGTTTAGTTATCATAGGTGATGGTCTATGAAAGCCCATAGACCATAATCTTTATTATTTTAATATTTTATAATACCTGAGGATCTCTGCTAATATTGTAGACCTTCATTAAAAATGCCAAATCAAATATTAATATATAATATGTTACTATATAATACTAATATACTGTATATAAAATATTTATATATAAATATTATATTAATATACTATAAAATATATATTAAACTATTTGAAATAAAATATTCATAAAAAGGAATTAAAAAAACAAAGGAATAAACTAATCACTTATAAGAATATAAAGATATGCATGTATATAAAATATTTCTTCCTAATAATATAAATATATTAATATAAATTAGTATATAGTCACTACTTAGTAATAATATACAAGTTAATAAAAGTTAATATGCATGGTATATTAATATATATAGTCACTAGAAGGGTGTATTAATCTTTTATCATTTCACAAATATTTCCACAATGTCCATACTTTTTACAATATTTCCACCCGAAATTTCCGACATATGGCCTATATTTGGGTAACTGACATTTCCATCGATATCAACATTTTAAACCTTGTTTACTAGATCTAGGAATCTCCTAGATAAGCTAGCATTTCCTTTGTGTGTTACAACTCATTATTTCTTTCAGAAGGTTTCAAGGAATGATTCTCATTTACTTTTCTTTTCTTCATATTTTGTACCATTTTACATTGTATTTTCATGGAGTTTTCATTCTCATGTCTTTGTCTTGATGCTGTGATCATCATACACCTATAATACTGTTTCTGCATTCTGCCCTATCTATGCCATGTCTGTTAGCATAAGTTAATGTTCATTGTGATGTAATTCCTTAGCTATTGCTTTACAGGTTTTGTTGCAATGACTGAGCAAAGGCAAATTCATCATGGAAAATCTCAGGATAAATGGGTTATGTGTCCAACATGCCGACAGCATACTGATTTTGGGAATATTGCATTTGCCGATGATAGACAAAACAAAACATGTAATTCTGACATTCCAAGTGCATTCCAAGGCCATGATAATCCTGAAGGTGTTATAAATGTCCAGGGATCATATGGAACAAAGGTCTGTTTCCAAACATAAAACTGTTTTTTATAATTTGTTACACTATCATATTTGAAGGAAGTTTTCATTGGTTAATAATTTGGAGAGGCTTTCTTTGTTTTCCTAATTTTATCAATCTATATGGTTCTATACCGTCTTCAAATTGATGGAAAAACACGTCTTCAACCCTTCTGTTAATATCTAGTTGCAAAATTCTGTCATACAGTAGCAAATAGCCATAATTTGTAAAGATGCAAATGATATTTCAGATGTCACAAACCTAGCATATATAGTATATTGTTTGTAAGGAGATAATAGAATAGTCTGGTGGGTCAAAAAAATACATTATACTTTACAGTTTCAAAAAAAAAATCTGACAGGTCAATTTACAAAAATTTTACACTACATATATTGGAGAATACTGATAATTCATGCTACATTTTGGCTGAACACAACTATCTGAAATTTAAACTGAACCCTCCTTACATAAGGAAATGCTTAACTGATATGGAACATAAAAGTAATGTTCACTAGAACATTGTCCCTTAGTATTTACATTTGTGCTGTTACTAGTAATACCATGTCCTAAACTTAGGAACATAATGGAGAAAAAATCAGGAACTTTATTGATAGACATGTGGTATGTTCTTTTTGATTTCTGAACAGCATCTTTTTTCTAGATGTTATTTCACCTTCCTGCCCTTGACACAAATTCTGTGTCCTGAACTAGGTTGACAACGAGACATAACTATCTAATTTTACTAACTCTAACACGCATTCTGTTTTTGTTTTTGTTTTTTTTTTTATTCTATTTACGAATAACAGCATCTCATCTCTAGTAGATGTAGAGGTGGTTCCCCTGAGAGGATTTTGGATGTTATCTCCACCTGATGTCTCTGTTTGGCTATTGGAACCTGGTCCTTGATGGTCATTGGGTTTCTTTTGTCTCACATAAGGTGTAAAAAAATTTGAATTTCTTTCTAGTCCTTTGTTTCTCACACACAATATCTCTATTTGTCTTACATAAGACATGATGTGCACACAGACCTCCTTAAGCTGCTTAAGTTTTCCTTTTTGAAAGATAGAAGTTCCATACACACTTCTTTGGTTTACAGCTCTATCATATCCAAGTTGGGTAAAGGGTCTTTCTTTTCAACCAAAGAACTTCTGTTAAGGGTTATATATATATCAAGGATAGGTAAAAAGGGTGATGCAGAACTCAAGTGGTTATATAAAATTTTATCTAATTTTATATTTTTCAACAGTAGAAGTATGTTGGTCATTTCCATGTCTGTGGTTTTGGATTTAGAGTTTGGTTTGTCTAGTTATAGTTTAATTGTCTTCAAGTTTTATAGTCATTATTTAAGTTGTTTAAGAGATATTTTATAATGATAGTGACAATTCTATAATTCCTGTTTTTCCTAGGATTGTCACCCCTATAGTAGTTTCATGATAAAAATGTGGTGATTGGTATTGGAATAATATTTGGATGATTTTGTACATATGATGCTTGTAGTGAGTGGTTCCAATAAACCCTAGAGATGATTTTGTACAAACCCACAAAATGAATAATTTAGTTCAACATGTCTATTTATTATTATAATCTCTAAGATAAAGAATACACAAAATGTTTCACAGCGCCATGTACAAAATAGATTGGTGTTTAAACGAGGCAACCCTCTATGGATGCCTTGTCGCCTAAGCATTGCCTTGACAACTATGATCCAGGAATGGAAGTCTTACAGTTCTATCCTTCTAAGCATGAACGCGATAGACCTATAGTAGATATGTATATAGGAAAAATAGAGTTTGGGACAGATTACAATTACAAATTTGGTCGGGAGAAATCAATCTATGGAAAATAAGAACTACATTGTTGTTTAATAGGACTTCTATTTGAAAGTTCAGGAGTAAATTTGGTATACATATTTGTAATTTTGTATATATACACATATATTTGTTTGTATGTATGGATTATGGTTGGTGGGATAAAAATTTAGCATAAATCTTTTAGGTATCGTCTATTAAAAAAAAATCGCTTTGTATTGCTTAAAGTTAGGGATATAGAGATACATATAATATTATCAAGGGGATCAAAGGTATATTTTAGAAATATCGTCCTATTTAAATCATTTTCTAGTTAATCATATTATAAATTTTTTTATTCTTTTTGTGGCTTTTATTCAGTTAAAACAACCCGAATTACCTTGCTACACCTTTGGAGCATCCATGGGATGAAACAATTACCTCTTTTGTCTACCCTTATTGCCCACTTAAAACTTACTTGTAATTTGTATGGGATGAAACAATTACCTCTTTTCTCTCTCTCTCTCTCTCTCTAAGCTTTCTTTCTCATAGTGTACTTTTCACATGTACATATGTCTTTTCTTGTATATTCACATAAAATTTTCATTGTATTACAAGTCAATAGTTTTTTGTTCCAATATACAAAATATGCATGTTTACTAACTATGATCAAACCCTCTAGAAGTTGTATTAAATTAGATGTAATTTTCATTCTCCTTAGCAACCATGATTTTCTATTCAAGGACATATTTTCCAAATGGGTGCAACATTCCCCTCTACAATCTCAATTATCTTTTATTTAAGTTTTAGCAGCATTGGATAAAGACCTAAAAAGGGAAACAACAAATGTTAAAAGGCGATTTTGGGAAAAGTTGGATGAGACTAATTCAAAAAATTCCAAATGGAGAAAGGATATTTTTATAGTAAAAGAGAAATTTTATTTAAATATATCCATGCCAAAACAAATCCATAGAGAAAAGCTAATAAAAGAAGCAATGAAGAGTCCTAAGGCCTAACTCCCTTCCCTATCCAGAATCTAGCCCCAACAAAAGAAACCTACCACTCCCCAGCCAATGAACTTCAAATGACCCTTGCAGTATAAAAGTCCCAAAACCCATCCAGCTCTCATACAAACTCATCCGCCAATTCTTACGAAAAATTAGCCCCAATCTCCTCCATTCATGACACATTTGAAATCATACCAAAAATCAAAAGACAGCCACCTATCTCCAAACCGGTTCCAACTTCAACCTTTAATCTTCCTACTAAAACTCTGGTTAAATATTATAAGAAATACCATTACTCAATCTCTCTTTCTCTTCTAATTCAAGAAATGCTTCTCTTGTATGCTCCTCCCCTCCTAAGAAGAAAGGCCCAAGCTTCTTTCCAACCTGAATTTCTTTGCTTACCACTAGATCAATATCCAATTTTATGTCCATCTTATGAACTTGATGAATTGAGGCTGAATCAATTCCATGCTCCTCCACAGCTTCCCTAACTGAGTTATCCACATATTCTAAATGATATTTAACCGAAACATCAAGGTCAGCTACTGGTCAATTCTAGGTTCATTTCCTAGAAATGTTTTCTGACAAACCACCTTGGATCCTCCTCTTAAACTTATTAAAAATCTATCCCCATATAATCCCCGACTAGTCGGGAAAAAACTTTAGTAATATGGTCCAGTCTCTGACTTCTCTTAATTCACTTCCCTGCACTAGCATTTATCTCCTTCCTGTCTAGATCTTCTGTGGAACAACCCTGTAACCTGATTCCTTTGAATAGTGTTCCTTCTCTGCTGTTATTAATCCCATTCCCTTCTTCAAAAGCCATGACTTGCTCAAAACGTGGAGCAGACTCCCGGATCACATTTTGCATATGAAAGCCAGTTATATTGATTTCTGGTACACTATAATTTAGGTTCAAAGAATCATCCCTCTCAACCTCAAGAGGCCCACCTTAGATCTATTAAAATCTCCTGACCAAACACCACTACAACCTCTCTTCCCGAGAACTCAACTTCTCCCCAATAGGGCCAACACAAAACAAGGATCTTACAGCATTACCCCTGACTCAACCACTTACATCTCCACTCAAAACCTCCTTACTAGCCAAATCAGCCATGCCCAACAGCACATAACATCAGAGCCAACCCAAAGTTATTCCATCATCTGCCTTCAGCTTTTTGTCACATGATTGAAGAAGATCATGAATCTGCTTCAAAGTCCCCCAAACAGGAAAAGGAATCCATCTGAATGCTGACGTTCTCTCCATTAATCGTGTTCGAGATTTCAAGTCCCATGAGGCCCATATGAGTGGATTTAAAGGGACACATTGGGGAAATATTGGCATGATAGTGTTCATAGGAAATATGGTTTCAGGGAGAGAAATGAGGCAGGATAAGTAATATTAGAATTTGCAATAGCATATTATCTAGCAATAGAAAAGACATACTTTGGAAAGAATGATAACATTTGAAGGTAGACCAAATATGAGCCAAGCAGACTTTTTTCCTTACTATAAAAACAGAATGAACAATATGTGATGACTATAAAGTTATTCCTAAGAATAAATTTCATTATAAATCATAAATTGGTGGTTTTGGAAAGGAGGGAGGTAAATGGAACTTATATGTAGAAACTAATGATGTGTGGCCGAAATGATTAATTATATAAAATAAATAATAAAAGAGGTATTAGGAGAATTCAAAAGGGACAGGAAAGCCTCTGAGGAAAAGGTTATCGATTCAAAGCTATTCTATCACAAAAGACAAAAAAAAAAGGAAGAAAATTTGGAATTATAAAACCCACTAGAAAGGAGGCTAGAAAGCGAATAAGTCAAGTGTAAGGCATATGATGAGCTTAATCATAAGCTAGATACAAAAAAGAGAGAAAACAGCATGTTTTATTTCAAGGAAAACAACCATGAAAGTTTTCTTTTCCTTTGATAGGTAAGTCCTAGGAAAAGAACAGAGATCTTTGCTTGGTATATTATTTTAATTTTTTGCTTTCTATACACACTTAAGCATAGAACTGGTAGGGCCATTTTGAGTTTTGCTACTTTAGAGTAAAACTTTCAGTTTAAATTTTTTATTTAATAGGGTCTTTCACAAGATTTCTCTTGGTCGCTAATCCTTTTGTATGATTCACCAAAAAAAAATGATCCGGTATCTCAGCAGTCCTACTTATATGCTTCCATGTGCTCAATCCTGCATTCAACCAAACTACCACAGTCAATCTTTACACCATCTGGCAGCCTATTCTTTGGGTTATGTCATATGTGGTTGCTTGGATTTAGGTTTCCCACTGCCCAGGCTTAATCTAAACCTGTATGCATATATTGCTCACTTCAACCTGTAGTTTTGGTTCATTTAGCATGCCCTCAACAGTTTTCAGAAACTTTGTTTTGAACTTGTTCTTGATTACATTACCATCCAAATTTATTTGATCTAGTGAATTTTAACTGGAAGCGTTTTTGCTTCGTAAGTCTTAAATCTTGTCCTATCGATGTTCTTTTCTTCTGTACCATGCAGCTTGAAGCAGTCACAAGGAGAATCCTGTGGATCAAATCTACTGACCCAAAAGCAAAAGTCCTTGTGTTCTCCAGTTGGAATGATGTTTTAGATGTGTTGGAACATGCTTTGGTTGCTAATGGCATCAGTTATATCCGGATGAAAGGAGGCAGGTATGAGTATTGCCCAAACAGTTTATTCTGAATCTGTATTTTGATAATCACTTATTCAAGGCATATTTTCCTCTTCTACTTAAATAGAGAGTAGTAATGTGGGCATTCCATTTTTTAATGGGCATCAGAATTGGAAAGATAAATGTACCAATACTTCTAAGAATAAATTCTATTATTGATAAAAAAATCTCCAAGAATAAAAAGATGCATTCCATTATACGGAAGCAGGTTTAACCATTTCATGGTATTAATACCATGAAATGTCTTTTGTTACCATATGATTGGTGTTAAAATAATTACATGCAGATATCTTGTCATTTCAAAAGAGTACTAGTAGCTAAAACAAGGTATTCCTGAATCACCACTCCTAGTAAAATTCTTGTCATAATGAGGTCCTCTCCTTAGTAACCAGAATCACTCAATCGCTTTAATCCATGTATTCTGAAATTAGAAGCAGATATGCAACCGCAATTCCTAAAATTTGAAGACAAATTTTTACATCTTGCTCCTAGTTGCACAATTATGTTTTTATGGAGTGGGACATCTTAGGCTTCTTTTATGGGGTGTTGGGTAAGATTTCCCCTCCCTACCCTGGTAGGTCAGGAACCTACTCCCTCCCTTCCTCCTCAGGCATACTCATGCACACATTATATTTTCCCTCTCTGATAAAATCTCCATATCCACTCTTTTCCATCGTCTGTGCCATACTCTTTCTCTTTCATCACTTTCCCCCTAATTTGCACATGCTTATACTTGCATAGAAATGATAATAAATACTAAAAAATAGTGATTATGACTTGATATTGCTGCCTCCCAATGGACACACACATACATACGCAAATGCACTCTAGTTATTTCATGAGGATTTAGGACACAGAAAGCAACAAAATGAAATAAAATAATATACCAAAATACCTCTCTCTCTCTCTCTCACACACACACACACATACGCATGCACAAAAACACACCACATACACATTTATATGCATAAGTTTGTTTATACATATAGGGCCATTGCTTGGTTCTATGGTAAAATGTCAGCACTTATCATTCATCATCATCTAAGCCTTGTCCCAACTATATGGGTCAGCTACATGAATCCTGCTTTGTCATTCTGTTTGGTTTAGTGCCATATCCATTGTTAAATTGAGGGATTAAACTGTTTCTTACTGCAAAACATGTCCTCTTTGATCTACCCCTAGCCCTCCCAGCCCCTTCAACTGGCAACAGATCACTTATGGGTGCTGTTGATGGTCTTCTATGCATGGGACACATCAGCACTTACTATTAAGGCTAAAAAGAAAACTTTCTTGACTGACTTGAGAAACATACAGCATGTGCTTTGTAGATTATGTACATTGTTGGCTGGTGGAATGGCTTGCCACATGTATGGGGATGAAACCAGTATTCCACTTCCTACCCTAAAACCAGGCTGATGAAATGACTGGCAATTTGGTTGGGGCTATATGCCTGAGAACTGTTGATTGTGGTCCTTGAAATAGTTGAAATATCTTATTAATAGATAGTGAGGTTATTAGTTGAACTGATTTATGGGCTAATATTCTATTCAAATTACTGATAATTATGGCATATAATCATTGAAACTACAGGAAATCGCATGCTGCCATCTCACAGTTCAAGGGCCAGAACCGTAATGTGGAAGGAATTGGCAAAATACATGATCAGCAGGGAGAACCTAAATCCATTCAAGTATTATTGCTCTTAATCCAACATGGAGCTAATGGTCTTAATTTATTGGAAGCACAACATGTTGTTCTTGTAGAGCCACTGCTCAATCCAGCAGCAGAAGCACAAGCAATCAACCGGGTCCACCGGATTGGACAAGAGAAGAGGACACTTGTTCATCGTTTTATAGTATGTCCATTCTTCTACTTATGCAACCATCTTTACAGTTTATTTAGAAATATAATGGTTTTCATTACAAGTAAGCAGTCTGCAGCCCTACTGAACATTACTTGGTGAACTCTTTTCATGACAAGAGTTACAATTAGTTAAGCCATCTAGTCCAATGGTTTTCTGTAAGGAGGCTCTACCTGGACCTTGAGACTATTTGATAGGCTTTCCACCTCTGATCCTTTGTTACAGATCCTGTCCATGAATGCAATTAAAGAAGTGGTCATCAAAAGGAATGGTATCTGCACTAGCCTAGCAAAAAATATGGCATTTTTAAGTTTACAGTTATACACCATCACACGGTTGTGCAGTTCATGTTTGTGTTGAAATGTAGTGGTGTTATTATGAATTCGGTGCTAGAGTCGTAAGTTTAGAGGAAAAAACACTGTCAGTAAAACTATATAATGCCAAAGTCTGGAGCTATATAACGCCAATACTTGCCTTGGCCTCACGTCAAGACAACCATCTGAAAATTTTTGTCCATTTATGTTCCTAGTGCCACTCTACTAGTTACTATAAACGAAGAGTGGAACAATACTTTTAAGCACTTTCAAGGATCTCTTTTTTTAATGAGTGTATTTCTATTCTTTCTCCTTTCCGTTTATTGATTTTTTTATGAGCTTAAATATCCAGGGTGAAGTTGCCTTAAAGCACAGATAAACTTTTACAATTGATTTTCCTCCTGGTAGGTGAAAGATACTGTTGAAGAGAGCATCTACAAATTGAACAGAGGCAGGACAGGCAATTTTGTCATTAGTGGAAACACTAAAAATCAAGATCAACCAGTTCTGACGCTCAAAGATGTAGAGTCCCTCTTCTCAACATCGCTGCATACAATGCCACTTGAAAACAATAATGAGCCAAGAGGAAGTTTAATGCATTTGCCTCCTGCGGTAGCTGCTGCTCTGGCTGCTGAGAGGAGATTGAGAGAACGTTCAACATAATTTATCAGGAACCTGAAGTTGGTTGTATCCTCCAAGTAAGCTTGAGATCATCAAGGGCACGGATAGATATAGGGTCTTGCTCATGGTTATGTACATTGTTTCAGCAACACCCAATGCAGGTGGTTCTTATGTGCAGAATTCTAGATTTTCACCTGATCGGGTATTTAACTATTTCTTCATAAATCAATTTATTCATGTAAATGTGGATGTGCTAACTCTATTTATATAGTGATTTCAATTTCATAAATTAACAAGCAATAAGTCATCATTGTAATAATTTTATTCAATGTTAATATATTTTTTCTTGGCCCTTATTTCTCATCAGGTGTTTGATTTTCCAAGTGAACTAATTATCCACTGGTCTGGTAACTTAAAGAATTTTTTTTTTCTGGAAAGCAAAGATTTCATTAAAACCAACGTTCAAAGCATGGTTTTTAAACCGACCCGGAAATGGAACCACTTTGATCACCGGTTCCTGAGTCAAATGGTCCAACCATCCGGTCTGAACCCTGGTAAGATGGTTTTGGGTCCAAAACCGGACCTGGAACCCTGGTAAGTGATGTTTGACATTGATACTGATTCTTCACTATCGTTTTTTTCAAAAATCGATGATATGTGAAATTATTGATTTTTCAAAAATTGATGTATTTTGTTATTTGGTATATTTCAGTCATTTAAGCTTTTTTTTTTTTTTTGCGTTAGAGTTATTATTCCATGCTACATTGGGATTTTGGATGCATGTCACTCTCAAAAAGTTTCCAGAAATTTCAGCGCCAATAACATGGCTGATTGAAATTTTAGTTGTGACGGTGAGGAACAATTTTCTCCTCGATCGGATACGTCATATCATCATCGTCATCACATTGTTCGGTTGGTGGAGACACGTATCAACTTATTAAGCGCCACCGCTCGCTAATAATAATGACGATGCCTATGTTCACAAAAAGATTTAAGCTACACAGTTGACATGTGGATCTCAAGCGCCACGTGGCATGAGGTGTTGGATCGTTTAGTTTATATGAATAATAAAATTATTGAAATGAAATTGGTGGGAGCAGCTAGGGGTAAAGGATCACTCATTCATGAGTCATCATATATTATAGGACATGCATGAGTCATGACAGAAGTACAGAACTCGAACTCAGCCAGGAATGAGGAACCAGCAGTCAGTACGTACATGAAATTGAAAGCTAACCAAGTAATTACCTCTTTTTTTGTGTCCTGATTACTCCTACAATCGCTTTCACTAGATTAGACAGACTAGTGTTAATTTAAATGCACCATCACCATGGTCATGGAAGTCCGGCTTTATCAGGCCTACAACACTAACTACCGTTTCTCTGCTTCGATGATTTACCGGCCGACTGCTACTGAACCTCCTTACAGTCGTACAACTCAACGCCGCAAGCTTTGCGCGTCCATTGGAATGCCAGGGTTTCGTCAGGAGTTACTGCTATCGGTGTTCAAGTCCAAATATTGGCCAAAACAACAAGCATCTGTACATGGACGGAAGACACAGGCGCTGGTCTTCAACTTGAATAAGTCCGGCGAGGAATGGGAAGTGGTGGAGCCCAAACATGAGTATCCTCCGCCGGAATTGGATGGAGAATCAAATACGACGGCGGAGGGCTGGATGAAATTGGGAGCTACGAAAGAGAATTGCGAGGGGAAGAGGGGATTAGTAGAGGTAGTGGAATGCCTGGCGGAAGAGGCGATCGTGGGGAACGACGAGGGACGTGAGCCTAAGGACTACAGTCGGAGGGCTCAGATCTTCGATAAGAGCTCTAGAGTTTTCACGGCTCTTAAGCAACGTGATACTCATTCTCATGCCTCGTAATCGTAAAGAAGGAAACGCGTCTGCGAATGCAGCCATGCATGATATATATGATGGAGGGAAAGAACTTTTAAATTTCAATTGCACCTAGTTTTCCCTTAATAAATTTAATTAAAACCTGCTTGCGCATGCCTGCCTGCCTGTTGCCTACTATTATTAATTGTATACTAATGGTAATTGTTGCTACTGATCAGTACTTTGTGTTGTTATCAAATATGAAATATCGATCTTATGATTTTAACTTTAGTTTTTTCTTTCTCAGTCGGTTGCTTGCTTTTGAGTTTTGGTGTACGATTTAATTGATTTTGTAAATTTTTTTTCTCACTCAATGCTAGTTGCCTGCTTTTTGAACTTTGGGTTGTGAGTCATTTGGCTATCTAATTGATATTCTAAAATTACAATTTCAGGGCAAGCCTAATAAAAATCCTTAAGCTTTTTTTCCCCATTATTTTTTATGTATTTATATTGTATATATTTTGTATTTGATGTATTTGCATTCTTTTCAAAGAGCATATGGAAAAATTGACAAAACAGCCTAAAAAAGGCAAATATAATGGCCAGTTGCAAGCAAAGTCATCTTGCAAGAGATTCAACCATGTATAAAGATTAAAGATTACAAGGAGAGATGTGATGGCAGTAAATGATGGATCAAACCTTTCACTTAGGAGTTAGGACCCCTCAGTTTTTCAGAAATTAATTACCTAAAAAGACCATTATGATAAAATATATTACATTGTTTATAGGGTAAGCCTTATCAATCTTTGCTACCAAGGTTTCGTTTGTAATATAAAATTCGCACATCGCACCTACGGACCTACGGACCTACTTCAAATTTGAAGTCGCTTGTTTGTCGACGAGCTACCTCCTTTTCCCTACTACTGGCTAACATTTATGACTTATTTACATAGTATTTGGTATGGCTTTCATTTATTAGTAGATCAACGTTGGTGTTTGTCTTAAATTGTTATTTTGGTAGACCTATGACTATGTTTGGTTTGAGGGTAAAAGTAGGGAAAGATAAGGAAACTTAAACAAGTTTTATAAAGGTTTCCCTACCTTTTCCTACTTTTTCCTTCAAACCAAACCACAGCTGTTATTTATTATTCTGCTGTAACACCTAATAGCACAACCGTCAACAAATATTAAAAATAAATTAAGTAAAAGGTATTTTAGTTTTAAAGATAAATTAAATACAAACTTTTTCTGTACAAATATTTATTTAATAAACAAAAGCCTTACCAAACATTGGCGTTGCCTCTTTCAAATTCAAAATCGCCCCAAATCAGATCAGAGATAACACCACTCAATCCCCAGCCTCCCTCGTCCCGAAGCAAAACCCCAGGCAGAACACTGGCCGGAAACCCCTGCAACCCAAGATCATCAGTCAAAACCCAAGCCACGGATTGATATCATACTGGTGGCTAATTCAGACAAAGAGAACCCGCCCCTTCTTGGTTACACCGTCCAATATAGTACCATTTGATGCCTCCCTTACGGAGGAACTGAAAGCAATCAGGAAAAGGTTAGAACGGTTGAGACTGGACAACGAAAAGACAGAGAAGACGCTGAGGGAGAGGGACTTGATGCTGAACATATAGATGCAAGAATTAGTAAAGAGAGGCGAAGCACAGAGGAAGCTCGAGAACATGGTACAGTGGTTATACATTTTGGAGGAACTAAGGTTTTCTTGTATGGTGAGCACAGCCGCATTCAATTTCCTTACTAGTGCTTACATTCTCATTTCTTTGATTCTCTTTGTTGGACCCTCTGTTCCCACTTCTGAGACTAATTTTTTTCTCATCTCCACCATCAGAGAACCCAACTCGTCCAATCGCTCAGACTAATTTTTTCTCTATTATGGATCAGAAGTCGGTATCTTCTTATTCTCTTCTCCTTTATAAATCCTTGAAATAAGAAAACCAAACAAAAAAATCCTTTTTAGTATAAATTAAAAATTTTAAAAAAAAAAAGAAAATTCTCTCGTTATTTTGACGTGGAAGAAAGTTCTTGTTTTTCCTACCCATCCAAAACAATTCTTGCTTTTATTTTGCAAAATGTTATGTGCCCAATGTGTTTAATCCATTGATCACAGTATAAATAAATTTGCACTTAAAAGTTGATATTGCCATTCAAATGTCAGCCCATGAGCCTTCTTTTGTGTTTTTTTTTTTTGGTTTATGTAATTAAATCCAGCCATTAACTTTATTAGCCTAATTTAGTAAATCCTGCTTGTTGTTAATGGGAAATACATGGATACATTAGTTTGCAAAATTCATAGGCAAGGTGGACCCCGAAACTATGATCTAATGTCTGAACCATGTATATGTGCGTACAAAAGCAAAATTAAAAATACCTCACTATTTTGTTTCTGCGCCATCTGACCAATTTAGCGTTGGTTCATGCATCTCCGCTTCCCCTATCTGCAAGATGTTGTAATTTCTACATCCCCGTCCATCTGGATAGCAGCCAAGTCGACTGCAAAATATATCTGTCTCAAAAACCATCAATGCAGGCAACCCAGTTAGCAGCTAGCTCAGGAGAGACTCACGTATACCTTATTAAAACATTTTCCAGGTTCAGCTAGAGATAATCTCCGGATATGTTATCTAAAGAAACATTTTAGTTTTTACCACCTTCAGACTTGATTTCAGGTGCCTGTAGAAGAAAATTTTGGCATCATCATTCATGGAATAACACATTCCTAGTATTGGTTAAAAAACAATGACAGCCTTCGAATGATGTGAAATAAGAAATTAAGCGAGGAATACCATGTTTGCCGCCCCAAAAAAAAGAAAGCCGCCAAGGAATTGGTCCATGAATCTCTGACCTTTAAAAGTCCCTATACCCTGTAACTTGGAAAAACGAAAATCATGCAGATGAACCAAATGAGAAAACCATTCCTTAGAATTGATGCTTAAGCATGCACACTGGCATTGTTGCTATCGGAAATCTATAATGAGCTGAAAATCATAGCCATACCGGGTCACTAGCCCATGAGAAGGATCATGGATTACACAAAGGGCCTATAAAAAATCCCACAAACATCTTGAACCAGCAAAATAGCATCATATTTTGAAGGATATCCAATATATAAACGCATCTTAGATAACTGAAATGCCATGAAAGTTGAAACAAATTCTCCCTAATCAATTAACCAACATCATATTTTGAAGGATATCAAAGACCAAATTCATAAATGATGGATCACAAGAAAAAGAAAGATGGAGCTTCATGGCTCAACATCTAAAGGTCAATCTATTACAATGGTACGGTAGCTAAAAAGACAACCTAACAAAACTTCCAATGGTTGTTGCAGTTTACACACGTTACAAAGGTTGTCATAGGTTCATCAGCACTCCGGGTCTGCAATTGATAATAAGTGCATTTCCGCTGCCCACATCGACCACACTTGAACTGATCAGTTGTAGCCTTTGGCGGACCTCCACGCTCGCATTCAAATAATGCTTTCTCCTTTATTTGGTCATTCTCACGTTTTCTTCTATCACTTGCCATTTCTTCTGCCGTCATAACAAGAAGTCTTTCTGGCTTGACCTCTCCAAGAAGGACTCTCCTCCGTAGATCAGGGTTATTTGTGTCCTTGATGTTGAACATTATAGATCTGTATTTGAACTTATGGGCACCATTGGAGCGGCCCCACTTTTCAAACATTGCAGATTCCACAGAGACGGCTACCCGAATAGGATCACATGCATTTACTTCATCCCTAATATCTTCATCAGCCTCATCAGAAACTTTGGACAAGGCCTCTGCAAGAATTTCCCGGATTTTGTCACGTGCATCATCATTACATTTGATCATTTTAGTCAGTTTAGGAGGGCCATTAGGAGCTTGCAATGGTCTTTTACTACCAGAAACTTGTTTCTCCTCCTTGGGTACCTTTTCAACCTTAAGAGGCTCGGCATCACCATGTTTTTCAACTTTGACAGTTTCCAACCTCGAAATTTTCTCAACCTTTACATTTTCAACCCTTGAAGCCTTCTCGACCCGTACAGAGTCTGGTGCCTTTTGCACCTTCTCAACCTTGACGGTCTCTGCCTTTGCAACATCAGGCTTCATAGAATCTTTGTTATCTGAGCATCCATTTTTCTTGTTTTTAGTTGTTTCCTCAATAACTACTCTTTTCCATATCTCAATCAAATCAGATGCCATAGCCTGGATCTTCTGTCTAGGATGTTTTGTGAGTAGGCGAACACGTTTTCCAACCTGAAAGTTAGATATCATATGTAAGTTAAATAGGGATCAGGGAAAAAAACATAGAAACAAAAAGCTTTTCTTTAATTTAATTATGCACTTTATATAGCTCAGGAGTTTCCAACGCCATGAATATTTTAGCCAGTTTATGATTAGCTACTAAAATATCACCATATACAGCACAATATCAAAGAATGAGTTTATAATCTGACATGAAGGCAGCAATTCCAACTTTCGGCATCAATTCATTCACCCCAACAATTGATTGATAAGGCCACAACAAAAAAAGAAATAGCCTTTTTTGGGTAAACAAGGATTATTAAATAAAGCTTGAATATTACACAAGGATAGCTTGTTCTTCCCTGCAAACAAGCCAACTCAACTTCAATAGTATAGCCTTACCACATTTTAGATAGATCACTACTAAAGACTCGTTTATCAATCCAATTGTCAACAGAATTAGCTCTTCACACTAGTGTCCTACAACCATTAAATTGTTGACAAAAATTTACCATCCTGAACAAGGAGTTCAACATTCCAGGTAGGTTAGACATTTGTTTACAAACATCCAATAAAGCTACTTCAGTCACTTTACAAAATTAGTTTGCAAATCGCCACCATTGCTTCTATCTGCAAACCCTCGCTCGCTAGGAAATAACCACTTTATTCTAATGAGTTTTACTTTTTTTATTTTTCATTTTCAACCTAGTGTTCATTTAGCAGTTAGCACAAGCAGAGAGGGTAAGAATTATAATGGATAGATAAGAAGAATCATTTAAGGGGAGAAAAAACTATCTAAATGGGAAATTTTACTTTAGCAAGTAATTAGCAAAGTTATTTTAACCGAATGTGCGGATATAGCAGATAATAATCCTTCAAAAAAGGAAAAGAGACTTCTCTGCAGATAATCACATGTATTGCCTTCCATATTTCTCTCTATAAAGGCCAGACCATCTCATGTAGTTCTTCCACTTAAGCCAAATGTTTCGAGCGAAAGATATCCCTCAAGGAAAAAACATACAAAAGGTTTTTCGTTTTTCTTTTCTTTACACACACAAACCAAAAAAAAAAAACCGCAACACAATGCGTTGCAGAGAAAGTATAAAGCAATAATAAGAGGAAAAAATAAACAAAAAAGGGAATAAATTTCAACCCTAAAATCCGAATCGAATCCCTCGAACGAATCTGATACCTTAAAACATTATGCAAACCCGATAAAAAACGCATACCTGAGTATCGATAAGATCTTGCTTCGTCACGGGAAAACTCTTCAGCCGTTTCAATGCATCGATACATCGAACTTCCTCCGCTCCACCCGAGGACGACCTCTCTGCTGCAGCAGCGTCCGCAGCCTTCTTCGCGGCTTCGAACAACTCAAGAAGTTCTCCCGCCATGGATATATGGAAACCAGACTGGAAAACCTATTAAAATTCCAAACAGAATCAATCGAATACGAAAACAAAAGGGGACAGATCAAATCAAACAAGCATTGATAGAAACGAACAGAACAGAAACTCTAGAAATCACAAGATCTAGGGCATCTTTCTTAACAATGAGAGAGAGTAAGAATTGAGACCAATACGATCTATAAAGTACGAGAACGAAACCTTGATCTCTCCCCTTTGTTTAGCTGGTGAAACCCTGATCTCTCTTCGGGAGAGAGAGAGAGAGAGCTTCGTTTGGTCGGGTTCAAGCCCTAAATCAGTAAATTGAATTGGAGTAGGAGTAAGATAAGATAAACGAGAATTTTACACATCGAACGGCTTTTCCACCTTAACCAGTGAGAAATCGTGAGATCGGACGGATGGTCTTCCGCACGTGTATTAGAAAATATTTTTGTTGAACTTTCCCAATAGGTTTCATTTTGGGTCAATTACCAAACCACCCTCCATAATGTCACGGATTTACTGAAACCTACATACGGTACGGTTTGCGTTTTATTGAAAATTTCAGTTTAGTACCTGAGCTTCGGGGGATAGTGTCAAGGTAGTAACCCTAACTTTAAAACGTGACAATGTAGTGTCCAAATTTTTGAAAATTATCAATTTAGTACTCGCCGTTAGTAATTCATCAGTTAAAACTTGTTAAAATATCAAAATTATCCTTAAAAAATACTATTCATTGTGCTCTACTTTAAGATTGAACTAGAATAGATCTTGTTGGAGGGTTGTGTCTCGTTTGTTGCATCCCTCAGCGACCTCAATGTTTTACGGTTCCAAGATTCATTGGATGTTTAGTGATCTGGTGAAGAACAATTTTGTTGGCAGGTGGAGTGATCTGAAATAGAGGGAGAGGGGTAGAGATGCAGAAAGTGAGTTCTATTCTGGTTTGGTCATTCGTGCCTTTGGTATCATCTAAATGGGTGCTAAATTGGTTAATAAAAGGGTAGATGGTTATATTTAGGGAATCAGAGTATGACGGTGATGACGGATAGGATGGGAAGACAAACAATTCCAACCTATGGATGATGAAACAATTCCAACCAGATGGTATTCCTGTTGCGGTCTTTCAAATGTGTTGGGATATGGTAGGAAGTGACATTGTGAATTTGGTTCAGAATTGTTTCTCCAATCCAGAAGCAAATTGCTTCTCTATAAATCAAACACTCATATGTGTGATTCCTAAAACTGACCATGTGGAGTTTCCTTCAATGTGTGTGGTACAAGCTCATTGCCAAAATCATAGTTAATAGACTGAAACCTCTTTTGCAGAAAATTATTGACCCATATTCTCTCCAGGAAGGCAAATTATTGATAATATTGTTATTGCAAAAGAAGCAGTCCATACAACGAGGAAGCAAAGAGGAAAGACTTCTTACTTTGTGCTGAAATTGGACCTTTCCAAGGCTTATGATCGGATCGTGTTGAATGTCCATCTTTATTGAAAATTCTATCTTCTTTGGGGTTTCCTCCTAAGTCCTAAGTTTTGTGATATTATATTTCAATGCATTTCATCGACGAATCTGGCTGTTTTGGTAAATGTCCATTATCTCCATACCTCTATATTTTATGCACTGAAGTCTTATCCCGTATGCTTACTATGAAGATGCAGGAAGGAGGTTCAAGGGGAATTCATTTTGGGAGGACAAGGATACCATTAAATCATTTATTTTTTGCAGATGACATGCTACTGTTTGGTAGGTGCTCTTTGAAGGAAATTGATCGTCTAAAACAGCAATTAGATATTTTCTGTCAATGGTCGGGACAACTCATAAATTTTCAGAAATCAGCAATCTACTTCAGTTCTAATACAGAAGGCAGAGTAAGAAATCTTATTTCAAATGCTTTGAATGTACGACACATGGATAAGGATGAGATGTACCTAGGGGTTCCCCTTCTAAAAGGAGGGAGGGAGGAATATTGGTAGATGGTCTTATGTTTTAGAACGAATGGAAGCTAGATTGGCAGGATGGAAGATCCCTTCATTATCTCAGGCGCCAGGCGGGTAGGACTGTTTTAATCAAATCTACTTTAGATAGAGGCTATCCCCCTTATACCAGATGCAACCTTAGCTCATGCCTAAAGAAATTTGTCATCATCTTGATGTGTTAATGTAGAAATTTCTGGTGGGGTGATTTGGAAGGTAGAAAAAAGAACTCATGTATCCAAATGGGAGCGCATGTTGAAACCTAAATCTGAAGGTGGCTTGAGTTTAGTGGCACCGGAGCATAGAAATAAAGCTTTGCTATCTAAACTAGGCTGGCGATTTTTATCGGATCAATTCTCTATGTGGGCCCAGATTTTGGGAGCAAAATACTTACATGGTAAGCATTTCTGGAAAGAGAAAATTTCTGTAACACATGGTGAAACTTGAACTCTATAAAAGATATTCTTAAACAAGGGGTTTTATGGATAATTGGCGATGGCTGGTCAGTTGATTTTCTCCATGATCCTTGATGTGGGCCAAATATCTTTCTTCATGATTATGCACACACATCACCTGACACTTCAAAAGTTGCAGATTTCATTAATCAGTTTTCGAAACAACCAGCAGAGATTGTAACATTAATTCAATCAATTCCCCTCCCATGATATACTTACAGATGGATGATAATCAATCTAGTCTGGTGTAAAACACCCCATGGAAAATTTACTGTTTCATCTGCTTTGAAGATAATTGTCGCATCCATGCCTAGCTCCTCCTCTCCCACTACTATTTTACAGGATTTGCAGTGGAATCATCTTTGGTCACGGAAGTACTCACCGCCATCAGTCAAACTATTTTTATGGCGTTGTGCCCACGACTGATAGATATATTACGGAAGCACAATATAGTTGCCCATTCTGTAATCATTCACAAGACAATAGTATTGTGCACTCCTTATTGTCATGTTCAGCGGTTAAACCAATTTGGCTTAGGTCATGCTTGAATCTCAGAATTGATGATTTGCAAATTATAGATATACCGGCAATTCTCTATTGTTGGTGGCAGCGTGATTGTCAACTCGATTCCATGATGGATGGCTATTTCTTTCGAGGTGGAATTATTATGAAACAAATCTGGTATGCCCGAAATGCTCATTTATTTAATGGTGTTCAATTCGATCCCATTGTTGTTATACACAAGGCTCATGCTGAAATTGATTGGTGCTTAAGTCTTTTTTATCCCATGCCTTCTACAACTTCGACAAACATGACCCATGGATTGGCGGAAGTGTGGTCAAAACCTGCTGCAAATTCTTTAAAAGTGAACGTTGATTGGACTAGTCATTCGGGGTCATAATGGTAATTTTCTTCTTGCAAGAGCTTTGCCTATTAACTATGAAAGTTCTATCATGGCTGAAGCTTTGGCTCTTTATCATGGTCTACTTTTAGTCTAAGAGCTTCATTTATCCTCTCTTATTGTTGAAGGTGATGCTTTTAGTATTTTCAAACTCATGTTGGTGGATGATCTCCATCCATCGTGGCACTTGATCCACATCATTACTGCCTGCAAGAGCATTTTATCTACCCTTCATTCTTGCTCGGTGAATTGTGTGCGACGGACGACAAATGGTGCTGCTCATGTAATTGCCAGACGAGGATTATCTTTGTCTCGACCTTTTACGTGGTCTACTATTGCAGATTTTTTATGTAATACTGTTGAAAGGGCCTCCTCATCGAGCTGATACAATTCTACCTACGGGCTTCTTTCAAAAAAAAAGTATAATGTAGTAATATGAAATTTTCCCTATTAAATACAACACCTCATAATTTGCAACGTAACCCATTTACTTAAAGTCAAATTTTTTAAAGTATACTATGGCTTAGGAAATTAACTAACTATATTCTTATTGTTTACAGTCTTAAAGTGAGTTGGTCAATTTCTTAAACCATGAGGGTACTTTAAGAAAATTTCCCTTTACTTGGCGTCTATTTGGAACTGTTGTTGTTGCTCCAAAAAATGCACCACATCAGTGCCATGTAGGAAAAAACGGTGCTCCATGAAACAGCCTTCTATTTTGAACCATTTTTTCATAGAAAACAGTGCTCCAAGCCACGCCTTGGAAATCGGGAAGGCATGGCTTGGAGCAATGCCAAATTTGGCATTTCCTAGAGCTGCAGCTCGTTGCTGCCAACAAGGCAGTGATGTAGCAGTGGATAATGGGTAGAAGTGCAGAAAACGTTTCCTATAACATTGGTACCAAATAGAAAAAGTTGTTGTTGCTCCAGGAAATGTCCTACCTAGCAGTAACGATTCCAAACCAAAAAAATGCATTGTTTTCTCGATGCTCCAAGTCACACATCAGCAACACCCTGCAACTACAGCATTGATGCCAAAGATATACTTAATTAGCCTTATCTTAAAAACTATTGGTATTTCCTTAAAAATAGAGTGGAAATGATCAAGGGCATGCTTGTGGTTACTTGTTCTCAAAGCACCCCTAGCACTTTATAACATGTTTTTATAAAGTTATAAAGAAATGATATTTAGGGTCTATTTGGTTTGCCGGAATAGGGGTCTGGAATCCGAATTGGAATAGGCTATTCTGATTTCAATTGTTTGGTTGGGCGGAATCGGAATCTCATTCTCATTCCTGTTGGAATGGCGTTCCCCCATTTGAGGGAATGGCTATTCCCTGCCACTCCCTTGGGAATGAAATCCCATTCCTACTGATTTTAATTCTCATTCTCATTCTTGTCTGAACCAAACAGACTATGGAAATGGACCATTCTGATTCCAATTCTAAAGGATTTCGATTTTGATTCCGACTATAAACCAAACGGAGCCTTAATTTTTAAATCTATAAAACAATGTTTTGTTTCAAAAGAAGAAAGAGAGAATAATGGTATTTGGGTTTATTCACATTTTATTAGGGGCAAGAATGACATTTCCAAAATTATTTTGTTTTGTTCAATTTTCTTCGAATAGATGTTAGAGTCATGACTATGGGTGTAATCAAGCCGAATCTAATGAAATCCCATTCCTACTGATTTTAATTCTCATTCTCATTCTTGTCTGACCAAACAGACTATGGAAATGGACCATTCTAATTCCAATTCTAAAGGATTTCGATTTAAATTCCGACTATAAACCAAACGGAGCCTTAATTTTTAAATCTATAAAACAATGTTTTGTTTCAAAAGAAGAAAGAGAGAATAATGGTATTTGGGTTTATTCACATTTTATTAGGGGCAAGAATGACATTTCCAAAATTATTTTGTTTTGTTCAATTTTCATCGAATAGATGTTAGAGTCATGACTATGGGTGTAATCAAGCCGAATCTA